AATGTTTTTTAATCTGCAGCTTGTTACCATTTTTTCACCAGGTGGAAGCTACTCTGAGGATGAAAGCAAACGGAGAGAGGAGGGCCACTCTCAGGGAGCCAGACCCCCTACCCCAACCTCCCAGTCTCATCCTCACCAATGTGAAATGGCAATAACAATACTTCCTGCAGGTCCTTGTTAACTCCAAGGCAATAATATCTGCACTGTGGAAATGTTAAGAACAATAAAAACAACTAGCATTGAGATTAGATTGTAACAGGGAAAGTCCTTGTTCTCTGGTTTAAGCCTGAATTGTTCCCATGACCTTCGGGTAATAAACAGTTCCTGGGTTAGACATGCTCATCCTGAGAAGACTTCTGCTTGGGGCTTGAGTTTTATACAAGCAGTCCTGTCATCCCCCCCCCCCCCCCTTTCCCTTCCCTTGACATAAAAGTAGCCTGAAGTCTGTACCTCCTTAAACCGGATTTTAGGGTTTGGTCTTCCCCACTTCTTGGTTTGAGCCTTCTTGATCAATAAACTTTTCCTTACTCCCACTCTGACATTTTGAGTTTTAGCCTTTTGGTGCTAAACATCGGAAAACACAGATACTTACATTACGATTCATAACAGTAGCAAAATTACAGTGAAGAATTAGCAACGAAAATAATTTTATGGTTGGGGGTCACCACAACCTGAGGAACTGTATTAAAGGGTCCGCGGCATTAGGGAGGTTGAGAACCTCTGCTCTAGATGCTCTACCAATAATTCTTTGCTCATGCCAGCTCCAGGTTTTATCTGCAGTCCCCCCTTTCCTCACGCCACCTGCTCTACCTGGGAACAACACCAATTGGTACGCTTTTTATCTTTTGTGCTGAATGACCCCCGAGAGCCCTATTTCCAGCCCAGATCTTACACATCCTGAACTCTAAAATCAAATGGCCTCACCCACCATGAAAAACTCAACAGGTCCCAGATGAAATACATCCCATCCTTCCCCTCTCCCCCCCCCCCCCCCCCCCCCCCACACACACACACACAAACTTCAGTTCTTCTTTGGTCTCCGGTACAAATACCCATGGGAGTCACCCTGTGTCTCACATCAGGTCACCAGACCCTGGGGATGCTTGCACTCACTCCCTTTCCTTCCCAAATTGCCCTAGCTCAGGCTCTCATCCTCTTCTCCCTGAAGTTTTGCAAAGTTCTCTTAAATGGTTAACACTTTTAGGGTCATCTTTCTAAATGCAAAGCTCATCATGTTACTTCCTTCCTTAAAATTCCCCCGTGACTTCCCACTGTCTGAGGGTGAAGTCCATCAGCCTCTGTAGTCCTCAAGGCCAGTGAGCTGGTCCCTCCCACCCCTCTGTCAGGGTTACCCTGCTCCACTGATTTCCTTCTACCACACTGCTTGTTCGGCGGGCAGGCATCATTCTTGCTGTGTGGCAGGCCCTGCACAGGGCACAGCAGTGGGGACAGACACTGTCCTGGTTTCGAGGTGCTCACAGCCGAGCAGGGAAACAGATACTAAAGAAATAAAGCGGGGTGGGGGCTGGGGAGCATGGTGTGAGAGAATAACCTCCGCATTAAGTAGTATTTGACTTCATCGGCATTTTGTTACAATATCCTGTTGTTTCTTTGTAAACTAAAAGGACGTAGAAGTTGCCTTTGTTTTTGGAGAATCTGGAAGTTTGAAATGCCTTTCTGCTGAGATGAGAATTTGCCCTGCACTTCTTCTTTGTAGAATCCACAATCCCAGCAAAAACCTAATCAGATTTCAAGTCAGCATTCCTCAGCGCCCTCCACCCCCACCTCTCAGCACAACACCCTGAGGCAGAGCCCATTTGACCTCCTCCTTCCTAACCCTTCCCTTCCTCACCCTTCTCTCTCTAACCCTAACCCTTCCTTACCTAACCCTTCCTTACCTAACCCTAACCCTTCCCTACCTAACCCTAACCCTTCCTTACCTAACCCTAACCCTTCCTTACCTAACCCTTCTTTACCTAACCCTAACCCTAACCCTTCCTATCTAACTCTAACCCTTCCCTACCCAACCCTAACCCTAACCCTTCCCTACCTAACCCTTCCTTACCTAACCCTTCCCTACCTAACCCTAACCCTTCCTTACCTAACCCTTCCCTACCTAACCCTAACCCTTCCCTACCTAACCCTTCCCTATCTAACCCTAACCCTTCCCTACCTAACCCTAACCCTTCCCTACCTAACCCTTCCCTACCTAACCCTAACCCTTCCCTACCTAACCCTTCCCTACCTAACCCTAACCCTTCCCTACCTAACCCTTCCCTACCTAACCCTAACCCTTCCCTACCTAACCCTTCCCTATCTAACCCTAACCCTTCCCTACCTTGCCATCCAATGGGCTGGGAAGCCCTAAGGGCAGAAACAACATACTCCAGTCTTTCAGTCCCCCACCTGGCGCAGTGCAGGCTCACAGTAAATGTTGACATGTTAAAAGGGTAAAAGATTCACTCTTTAAATGTAAATTACGTGGCACATTGAGCATCACTTTGTATAAACTTTCTGAATAACAATTGAGCAATATTTACGAAAAGACAGGCCCAGCAGCACCACTTCCAGTTAATGTTCTACAGACCTAGCAGGAGGCGTAAAAAGCATGCGCAGGAATGTCTCATTTCAACATCTGACACAGCTGTCAGAAACCAGAAACAATGGCAAAGCCACGCACAGAGATCTGGATAAGCACACCACGGTGTTCCATCTGCAGAGCCCCTGGGCGCCCAGCGAGGAGGAGACAGGCCTATCCCCACTGACACCGAAGAGACCCACAGGTGGGGGATGAGTAACAGTCACATCTTGCCGTTTATCCAAAGGAGGAGGCAGCATATGTTGTCACGGCTTAAGGAGAAAAGTCACTAAGAGCCGCTCCTGCTTATTATTTCCGATGGCACAGGACACTGATTTTGTAAGAATGAGATATGCTTCTTAAAATTAATACACAAACATAATCACCAGTGTAAAAAGTCATTTGTATACTAACGGATACGTTATTTCACCAACTTCTTAGTTAGGAAATGGAAATGGAAATCTTTTTGAATTCTGGGTTGCTGTTTTTTAAAAGATGAACTGTTATTCATGGCTACTCCCAACACCTGCAAGAGACAAGCTAGCAGACACTCAGTTAACACTTGCTGAATGAATAAGCTGTTGTACAAGCATAAAATAGTTGCTCACCGGGAACAAAGTATCTAAAAGCTACTTCACAAACTCACAAGGGACAATTATCACTTACAGGTGGTATCTTAACAATATAGTTACCAAGCTAAATAAATTAGGATTAAAACACACACACACACACACACACACACACACACACACACACACCTCTCATAACATTAGCAATCTTCAAACTAACAAGTTTACAAAAAAAAAGGGGAGGGGGGGCTTTGAAATCAGTTTAATTTACAACCGGAAGTCTGGCACATTCCTGACAATAATGCGGGTAATAAAAAGGTATTTGAAGATTTGGGAGTAAAACACAGATCCTCCAACAGAAGAAAATCAATAAGAACCAATAAACCTTAATTTTAATCTACTCAGAAGTGCTTATTTGGGGGAGGTGATTAACTTGGAGCTCAGACTACTGAGAACACCTTCCACTGAAGACCACAGGGCCCCCAAAGCAGCCTTAGCTTCAGATCCTCAAAGAACACCCCAAAGGTGGTGGGCCCTCCTGGCTGTGGATGCTGGTGGGAGAGGTGAGAGAGCTGGGAAAATGAAAGACAGCCAAGGTTTCCGGCCTCAGGAAAAAGCTTCTAACAGTTCAAATTTAAGTTTAACTCCCACACCTTTTAAAGGAAGCTACCGGATATTTAACGAGGTGTTAATTCATGGGAAAGTGCCTACTATCTATAAAAAGTAATGGCCACCACAGAGCCCAACTTGTTTTGGGACACTTGGACCAATAGTAGACTCAATTCTAAAAACTCACATGTTCCCTGGATTATTTTTTTCCCCAATCACCACAGGACTCCTAATTCTAAAAATTCCTTTGCGAGAATGATTTTAATCCTTCCTATGAAAAGAGCAGGTACCCAATAGGCTGTCACCAAAACCGGTAACTTGACTTGTGGAAGAGGAGAGGTCAAAATACTTGGCTGCTAAATCAGCGTAACAGGTGTTTTAGCAAGTGAGTGAAGTACTAGTGAATAAAATAACAATCCGAACTCTCAGACTGCCCTCTGGAACCTTCTCCAAAGCCCTCCGGCTCTTTAACAACTGGAAATAAATTCTTCCAAGGTCTACCCAGCCAGAGGCACTTCTCCCTCCAGCAAAGACGGTCTGGAAGAAGATGTCTGGATGCATTGGGAAACCAGCCACCTACGCTTGCACTTACTAACTTGCTAGCCAAAGGTCCCAGGCCCTGGTCTCCGCCCTCCCGTCCACTCCTCCCCGGCGGCGGACGGGGGCCCTGCTTCCCATTTCTCAGAGCTCACAGCCCCGCGTCTGGAGCAGGTGCTCATGAAGGATCCGATTTAGCCATTTCATGGCACAGAAGGGGGGAGGGGGAGACGACGACTTTGGAAACCATCTAAAAGCATCTCAAGTGTTCACTTTGGCTAATAACAACAAATGCTGATTTTTGCAAATCAGTATATCCGTCCGATTGGAACGCACAGAACTTGGAAGCCCGCATCCCCCGCCGCGAAGCCAGCAGCAAGCAGGGTCCGGGCAGAGGGAGCACCCAGCCGCGCTCGGAGGCCGGGCGGCGGGCGCACGGCAGCGCCGGGTCCGGGGACCCGACTCCCCGGCTTCTGGCTCCCAGACCCGGAGCCGGGCAGGGAGGCACCAGGGACGGAACAGCCGCACCGGGACGGCGGGCGGGAGCTGCCCGTTTCCTTGACAACCGCCCCAGGGCGCAGCCCTTCCTCCGGGCCGGGGGAGGGGAGAGAGGGGGCGCAGGGACCCCCGCGCGGGGACGGCGCACGGCCCGAGGGGCGCCTCCCGGACGCAGCGGCCTCGGCCCGCACCCCGGGGCCCGCGCCTACCGTGTATCCCCGCTCCAGGTCACTCTCCTCGTAGCGAAAGGACGGGATGTAGACCTCCATGGCTGCGCCTGGCGGCCGGCGGACACCGATCAGGGACGCCGCTCGGCTCGCGGCCGCCGCCGCTCCGCTCCGCCCCGGCCCGCCGCCCCGCCTCCTCTCCCCCGCGCCCGCGGGCCCCGGGGCTGCGCCTTGGGGACCCAGGGCCGCCGCGATCCCGCCGCCCGCGCGCTCCGGACGGGCTGGGGGGGCCGGGAGCGGGGCGCGGGGCTGCGGGCGCCCGGGCGCCAGGCCTCAGTCTGCGGAGCCGGCTGGGCCCGGAGGGGGCGGGGCCTGGGACCTGCGAGGCTGCGGAGCGGGGTGTGCGCACCTCCGCGCGGGCGCGGGCCGGGCCGCGGGCGCTCCCTGCCCTCCGGCGGGGGCCGGATTTGCCATTTGGGAAACATCACCCTAACTCAGTGTTTCCCAAACTTCTCTCATGATGAGAATCACCTGGTGGAGTTGTTAAAAATACAGATTCCTGAATCCCAACTAAGAAGTGCTAAACTAGAGTTTTTGGGAACATATACTTAACTACAATTTTACCTATATGTTCCCAAAAACTCTAGTTTAGCACTTCTTAGTTGGGATTCAGAAATCTGTAGATTAACACCACCACCAGGTGATTCTCCTCATGAGAGAAGTTTGGGAAACACTGCCTAACTGAACAGATTGCAAGACCACGAGGAACAGAAAAGCCTGGAGCGTCTTCGTTTTGCGCCTCTTTTCATTTTAACTCTTGGGCTAGCAATAAGCAGCAAACCCTCCAACTTTTACCCAAATTTGTCTGTTTCCCCCGACGATTCTTCCGAGTTAGCCCGAAAGAAAGTCGTCTGGTCACTGAGACGAACGCGTGGGCTTCTGGCTCCGATTCTGAAATGCTGCCTCGCCTAAGCACCTGAAAGTGTCTAAAAGATGAAGTGATCCGTTACCTTTGTAAACTCCGAGATTCTTCCTGAGCTACCGAGAGTAGAAACTTGGAGGTGACTCGCGGGTCAGAGAAGTGGCCTCTCCTGCGGAGCTTCTGGAGTTGCAAACAGCTGCACCTAACTCTGCGCTGGAAGCCAGGGGCCTTTCAACTAGGAAAGCTCTGAAGTTTAGTTTGTGATGAGACCCTAAGCCCTGGAAAGGGGAACAGTCCAGCCCTTTGATTTAAGAGCCTGCATGGCGTGGACCCTGCGATGGCTTCTGCATTAGCCTCATCTGAAGGCCCGGCCTGCTCACCCACTCGCTTGCAATTTGTGTCTGCCCCTCAGAACTCCACGCCTCAGCAAAGCTGTGCCGTGGACGAGACCTCCTGTCCCCTTTTCTTCTACTGGCCTGTTTGCAACCAAATAGCCCCATGGACTCCATGCTGTCTGAGCCGGGAGCCCAGATTGTAGGGTCCTTCAGCCTCTGGTGACTGTCACACTGTATTGTGTGATTTATCTCCGTCACCCACTAAGTTTTTGGGAAGGTACCCTTAAAATACACACACACACACACACACACACACACACACACACACACACACACAAGTTATTCTCTGCTTGCCATATTGCCTGGCACGTTTTTCTTGAAAGCTTTATATAAACATTTGAGGCCAATACACGAAATTCTTGCAATAGTAGGCCTTCCTTCCCCCGGCAGCCGGCAGCCAGCACCAGCTTCCCTCTGGCACCCAGGACCTGGACTTCCCTTGTAACCCCTGCTTTATCAGGAAGGATGTCTGGTCTAATTAGCATATTACACTTTTATTATAATAAATTTAAATACTCATCTCTACAAAACCAATGGAATGCAGCAGGTATTTTACTATGCCATTGCATACCATGTCTCATTGAAAATTCCTGACAACCCCACAAGGAAGTGTTATGTGCAATAAGATTTGTAAGGACTAAGAAGTAATGTTTCTGTCTTTTTATTTTTAAAAAGAATGGCTCCTGATGGCAGAAGACCCAACAATTTCAAGATTGGTTGAAACAGATTATTAAAGTCTCAGTGAGTAATGTAACCCACTATTACCTGAAATTCGTGCTAGGGGCTCAGCCCCACCACCACTGTCATCGCTTCATCCTGAGGATCATCTGGAAGGACATCTGGTCTAATTAGCATATTATGCTTTATTTAAAAAATAGCTTCATCCTGAGGATCATCTGGAAGGACATCTGGTCTAATTAGCATATTATGCTTTTTAAATAAAGCATAATATGCTAATTAGACTGGACAGCTGAACGACCTTCTGGACATCATTCCAAACATCCTTCCAGATGAAACTCCCATAGCGGGAGCTGAGGCAGAGGTAGTTAGGGGTGATCAGGCAGGCAGGTAGAGTGGTTAGGGGTGATCAGGCAGGCAGGGGAGCAGTTAGGAGCCAGTTGTCCCGGATTGTGAGAGGGATGTCCGACTGCTGGTTTAGGATTGGGCTTAAACAGGCAGTCAGGCATCCCCCAAGGGGTCCTGGATTGTGAGAAGCTGCAGGCTGAGGGACTCCCCTACCCCAAGCATAAATGTCATGCACCAGGCTTCTGGTAGATAATAAAAGTCTAATATGCAAACTGTACCCTCGAGTGGTCAGAATTCAACTGAGAGTTTGACCAGGAGTTCAACCACTCGCTATGATGTGCACTGACCACCAGGGGGTGGCAGGCATTGGTGATGTGGCGCTGATAGTGGGTGGCAGTAGAGGCGCTGCTGGCCCCAGTGGGCCCGGATGAGAGTGGAACCACAGCAGGATGGTAGAGCAGGTGAGCAGGTGGTGCCAGGTCAAGGTGAGTGCAAGTGGGGCCAAATCACCCTGCTGGTCACCCTACAGACAGTCACCAGCAGCAGCAGTAGTGGGTCTGCTGCTTGGCTCGTAGGGGCTGAGGAAACTGGGTGGGGGACCCTGCCCTGATCCATTGCCCTGCAGGTGGGATGGTGGAGCAGGTGAGGGGGCAGTCCCAGGCCAAGGCAGGGTGCCAGGTGGGGCTACAAGGCTGGGGGACAAGCTGCGGCCCGATCTCCGCAGGCCACTCTGTGGAACCCCACCTGTGCACAAATTTGTGTACCGGGCTTCTAGTGTAATCAAAGTCCTTGGGCTATGGCTTGCTGGTCAATCTTTTAAGATGCTTTCTATACCATCCATCCAAAGCAGTCTGCTAGTAGCCTGGCACATCTGTTTTTGTCTGGTGTGGTTTACTTATTGACAAGCTGGTTAAAGAGGCAGAGATGTGAGGGTCCGTAAAGATCTGACAGATGGTCTGAATGAAACATATCTTCTATATTCTAATAGCTATGTATAATTAATTTGCCTTGCTGAAAATGTATACAAGCCCTCTCAATACATGAGTGTGTTCTTGAGGGTCTATCTGCTCAACCACATTAATAAAAATATGTGTCAAGTACAGATTTAAGACATTGAATAGTTAGTATTTGTTGATAAAAGCAAAAAAATTAACATAAGAAAAATAATAAAATTCTATTGGAATCTTGGTATACAAATCTTACACTAAAAATACCACATTTATCTCACATTGGGTAGGAATATATTTCAGCTAATTTAGTGATAATCTATTTTAAATATCAACTTATGTTAGAAATTTTGACTATAATCTATGTAGAATGTATTGTAATACTCAAAACTCAATTATGAAACAAACACATCATAACCAAATAAGACTTTTCCTGGCAACATAAAGAAGGTTAAACATTAGGAAATCTGTTGATGTATTTCTCAATATTGTCAGATTAGAAAATAAAAATGAATATCCCAATAGTTACTAAAAAAGTTAATAAATCAGTAAACCTCTTACAGGCTAATTTTTAACAGGCTAGAAATAACAAGAAACTAATTTGATAAAGATTAACTACCATAACACCACAGCAAATATGGGGGTGAGTATAGGGTGGAGGGGGTCAATGGGAGAAAAAGAGGGACATATGTAATATTTTCAACAATAAAGATAAATTTGAAAGAATATCCCACTCAACATCATATGAGGAAGCATCATCATAGTGTCAATAACTTTCACAAAATGTATTAGTACAATTTTCATAGGTTGCCAGATTTTAAAATCAACATATATATAATCAATAGATTTCACATATAATAGCTTTCTTATACACCAACATTGACCAGCTAGAAAAATAATATGGAAAATCAAAAGATTCCATTAATAACAGCATTAAAAACTTATAATGTCCAATGATAACAGTAAATGTGCAAGAACAATATGAAAAAAAAAAAAAAAAAAAAAAAAAAAAGGAAACTTTATTAAAGGATGTAAAAGAAGATCTGAAGATAGTTATATCATGTTTCTGGATGGGAAGAATCAATACTTTAAAGATGTAAGCTTTCATCAAAATGATTTATGAAGTTATTACAATCAAAGCTCCAACAAGCTAAGAAAACTGACAAACTGGTTTTAATATTCATTTGAAAAATGAATAACCAGGGCAAGTTGGAACAAAAAGAAAATGAATGAGAGAGTAAGTTCATCTATCGGACATCAAAACATTATAAAACCAGAGTAATTAAACCTTGTGTGATCCTCGAGTAGAATTCGACAATGATCAAGGGAACCAAGTAGTCCAGAACCAGATCTCTGGATATATGAAAACATATGAAATTACAATGATATTTCAAACCCATGGTGGGAAGTGGGGGGTAAGCTATTCAATAAATAATATTTAAATAATTTTAATAGGAAAGTTTTAATAAATCTTAAAAATGATTTAAATAAATGATATATTAAATATTTTATGCATAACCAGCTACCCAATTGGGAGAAAAATAAAATAGATTATTTAAGTGAATTCCATATATAGTAAAAAGCTCTATGAAAAAAACAAAGTTATAAAACTTTAAGGTAGACAATATACAAAATGTCAAAGATATTAAGGGAAAGATTATATTTTAAATTATATAAACATTTAAAATTACTGTAAATTGGAAAAACCAAGAATGCAGCATAGATAAACATCTGAATTTGCCACCTCGCACAAACACTTCAAAACTACAACTAAAAGACAAAACAGACATCATCCAGAACCACAGGAAGGCTGGCTAAGTGGAAATTCTACAACTAGAAGGGAAGAGAAAAGCACACTGAGACTCAGAGGAGCTGCGGAAGTAAAGGCAAAGGTACAGAAGCACATGCGCACACAGGAGCTGGCTGGCAACAGAGAGGGCTGGCAACTGAGTACACAGCTGGCTTTTTCATTTGGGAGGAGACAAAAGCTCCCGACTGCTCTGAACTCCAGTTCTGGG